TGTTGTGCTAAGCTTCTCTTACTGTCGCAGCTTTTTGTAGGTTACTAAGCAGTCTTGAAATAACTGACAACAAATTGGAATGTTTTCATACCAAGATGAGACTGCTGGGACTGAAAAATAATTTGCACGTAGCGGGAGCTATGTAACGTCTGTTGTTTCTTCAGCCACAGCAGACTGTTGGATATCTGAATTTCCTAAACTGTCTCTTTTATACGATTATGTAGAAACATCTATTATATCACGTGTGGTGCTTGGTAGTCATAAACCAGATAATTATGGGCACCTTTTTGTTTATGAGAAACTGATAAGGTAATCTGACAAACAACATTCTGGAATTAGTACCAGCTGAAGCTGCTGCTGCTCGCTCTGCTCTACTGCTGCCTTCTGTGGTGCGTTACCAAATATGTAACTGTGGCTAATTGCTTCTAAAGCTCTCGTCCCGAACGCTGGCGTGGAGTGAACGCTGTGTAGCCTGGGAAGGTCAGAATGCGACTGTTGTCTTTTCATAACGATCATGAAGGGAAGAGGTTTTTGGAGGGGAGCAGTGTGTGCTGTGTAGGTGTGTTAGTGGTACAATAGTTTCTTCTACTAGACAGGCTGTGTTAATAACACCAGTATCTGAAGAGAGTAATAGCATGCACATCTTGCTCAACTAGGTTTTTTGGGGTTTCTTTACTATGTTGCAAGTTTTCTTTAGAGCCTGTCTGAAGCCTGCTGAAGTATTGTGCGTATTAAACTACCTACTTTATACCACTAGCGTTCTCAAAGTCTGCCAGAAATGTAAGGTGAAGACAAAGTTGTTTGCACTGTTGTTTGCTATACTTGTGTGACTTCAGAACAATTCTTTTTTAAAACCTGGTAAATAGGAGTGAATGAGGCGTTCCTTTTCATAGAGGTGTATGTTGGTAGCAATCACTAGCAATCAAACTAGCTTCATTTTTATGGAGGATTATAAAGATGGGGAAGCTGCTGATCCCTTTTTCTGGTACATAGGGTAAAAACTGCTGTCGTGCACTTGACTTCCTGCAGATCCACAGGAAAATCCTGTGGATTTTCATAGTTCTTAACCTGCTGCAGTTCAGTTCCAAATCAATTCTTCTCTTGCTTTTGTTATTTTTGGTGTTCTACAGTAGACAGATAGGATAGACACACGGGTAGTGGCCAATTGACAGGATATTATCAAGTAGTCATGGGACCAGTATATTTAGAATTGCAGATGCAGGTAATGGTGGTCTTCAGAGGCTTGTTTTGTTTTGGTCCTGAAGTTCATGGTGACAGTTAGTTTAAAAGAAAAAAAAATGCACAGCAGTGTGCAACTTCTCAGTTACTCAGTGCTTTGGTGTCTCTGTTTTATGGCTGTGATGCTGTATCATGAGGAGATGCCTAAATCCTTTGTATGTTAGGTGGTAACTTCACTTTCTGAGTATAAGCAAGGCCCATATTGTCTTTTTTTTTTTTTTTCAGGTGACATCACAAATGGTACAGTATTGTTTTGCAGTAGTCTGACCTTTTCTACTCTTTTGTTGCTCTTTTTATTTGCTGGACAGGTGGATTATATGCATGTGTATTAGGACTCTGGATTGTGTGGGAGTCTTATTTGCTTTCTGAGTATTAACTGTTTGGTTGGGTTTGTTTTTTTTTAATTATCCATAGCTCCAGAAAAGGTTAACATCAATTTAACCGCTATTTTGGTAATCATAACTTACCAGAAAAAGTATATTGTTTCCAGGCCACCTTTGTTTCTTTTGCTGACTGGGCTTTTGGAGTTCACTCCCACCTGTGGGCCAGGGGAGAAAAGAGCAGCCTTTCCTCAGGCTGAAAGCTGTCAGAGTGCTTAGCCCATCCCTGATGCTGAAAACATCTTCTCAAGTTTAAAAAAAAAAAGACACTGAGTGGAACAGTGAGAGAAATAACTTTACTTGTGAGTATATGAGGCACCTCAGAAGCTGTTTAATTGGCTTGTCCACTGTTAAATGTGTTTAAAACGAGTGACACAAAAATAGAAGCTTGTTTTGAAATTTGGCAAGGCAGAGGCATAGGAACGCAGGCGAAGTCAACAGGCTGGTCATAGGGGGTACCCCATGTGGGTCACCTATTGCTTCCCAAAACTTGCTTTCAAGCAGGAGAACCACTTGCACTAACTTTCTGTCCAGAAAAGTGGAGCCTGTGGGTGGACACCTTAAAATGGAAGACATCAACTAAAACTGTTAAGGTCTGATAAACTATGAGCAACTCAGAAGTAGAGCCTTACAGCAGAAAGCATCTGAAAAGACAGAAGGTAGTTCTGCAGATCCCATGTATGTATATTTTTATGGATGCAACTTCTTTTTCATGGCTGATATCTATAGCTCATAGCCTAATAACTAGTTACTACTGTGCTTGCAGGCAGTATCAAGTTTAACGCTTTTTTTTTTTGGTGAGCCCTAAAATTCTGGGACTAAAAATAAATTTGTTGCAAGAAGTTGTTACTTGTTTCTCAAAGAACTTTGGCAGTAGTGTCAGTGTTTCTTTTCCTAATCATTTCTCTGAGACTGTCCTAGTTAAAAACATCTAAAATATTGTGTCCTTGAAGTTCCTTGCTTAATCTCATCTTTGGGTGCATAAGCTGTAACCGCTGGTTAGGGTTGCTGGGGTTTTTTTTGTTTGGGTTTGGGGGTTTTTTTGAGGTTTTGTGGTAGGGTTTTTTTTTTTCCTGAGAGACAGATTTATATACATGGTTGTCTGTATTTGCTAGGAATGACTTTTAAACCATCAGGTGTAATAAGATTGCAATTTTTTATGCATAAAGGCTTGTGACAGCATCTCTTTTTGTCTGTGCTAGGGTTTTGGCTGTGAGGTTAAAACTGTAGATGGAAGAACTTAATTATGCACGCAAGGAGCAGTGATGGTTGTCAGTGCACCTGGTTATCAGGCTTTCTCCACACACTGGGAAAAAAAACCCAACAAATGTAAAACCTGTGCCTAATTAGGGAGCTAATTTGTATTCTTCAGAGAGGATCATCTCCTGCTATGCCGAGCAGTGAACCACAGATCTTTAAAACACAAAAAGGGAGAGCATTAGGCCAGTGCATGGTACGTTATTTGCAGTTTCTCAAGCATGGAGTGAATGGTCTTGTGAAGCAAGGCTCCTCTAGAGTCACTACAGGTTGCGGGAAGTAAGTTTTTCATTTAACTGTAGCATTGGCTTTGAAGGGTTCGTCGCCAGATTCCTTGACAGCTCTGACACATATCCACTACCAATATATCTGACAGATAGCTGTTACAGATTATATCTGAATCAAACCCTTTTTCTTCCCAAATTAGCTAGTATGGCTGTTAGTTCTGGTGGGGGAGAACACATAAAGCAGTTAGTCATGAATTCCATAGAAACATAATCCGAGCTGCATGATTCTACCCCTTCAGCATTAATGCAGTTGATGGTTTTTTTCCTTCCATGGAGTTAATTTTTAGATGGGTTAGCTCCTTGAACTTGTTTTGAATGGTGTGGTACTCTTTGTTTATCTAACTGTTAACTGGTAACTAAGACATTTTCTGATTATGAAGTTAGAGCTGATGTTACATTGAGACATAACAGTAGTTTGTGTAGATTTTTGTCCCTGATGTGCTATGAAAGCCTAGAGTTGTTTCAGTTTTTCTCCCTTTAAAACAAAATTTTTGGATCGTGGCCCAAAGAAATATTCTTCTGAATTGAAATATTTGAGGAATTTTTTCTGAATGAATTCTACTGTTGAGCAGAGTCTCCAGACTTATTTCCAGCTTCTGCCTTATCTGGGTATTGGCACTCCTTGTTTTTTTTTTTTTTAAATTAATAATATTATTATTCTTCAATTTTTTTTTTAGCAGAAAAGACCAATATTGGGAGCTTGGTGCTTCTTATGCATAGGTGAGAGAGGGCATTTTGTTTTGAAAGGCCAGAGGTAACCACACCCAAGTACTCGGATAGTGCTGCGTTATGTGGGCATGCTTTAGGACAAAGTAGTAAGTGCAGAAGTCTTTTTGCGTATTATTTACCAGACAGTGAGTCGGAATGGGACTCCATTTCCCTGAGCTTGGGTCACCTAAGCTGTAGTAATGGCCACACATGTGTCCACGTAATGGCCAGTTTCTTACTTTGTGTATGGGAGGTGTGGTGCAGGAGTTTTGTAGCGCTGTACTGTATTACTATTTCAGTCCACAAGTGTGAGTTGAAAATATCATTCGCTACTATGCAAGTGAACCTGATGCGCTGGCTTAACAAGGTGTTAATGAAATTGGCAATTAGGAAACCTTGCATTAAGAAAGAGTGACTCAGTCATTAAGTGGTGGGCTGTGGATTTGAGAGAACATATTAATATGCTAACATGGAAGGGGCACAGCAGTATTTACTGCTAAATGTAAGTTTATGACCTGCTTATCGCTTCACCGCGGCTGACAGAACTTGTTCCCTAACTGTTGGAATTCACCAATTTGGAATTTCATTTTCTTTCTTTCTTTCAGTGAGTACTGTGTAACCCGCTCGCTGCCCAAGATGGTGAAGCTGGATATACACACGCTGGCTCATCACCTCAAGCAGGAACGACTGTATGTAAACTCAGAAAAGCAACTTATTCAGAGGCTCAATGCAGATGTATTGAAGACAGCCGAAAAGCTGTACCGCACAGCATGGATTTCCAAGCAGCAAAGGATTAACTTGGACAGGCTGATCATAACAAGGTGACTTGGGGGGTTGGGGTGGTCCTGGGGAGAACAAGCTCCTAAGCTTCTGTGAATTGCAGCAGATCCTTCAGATTTTTCACACTTAGTATCTGGAGTCCTTTGCTGTACTAATCATAAAAATAGTAAGTTTTTAAAACAGATCTCCAGTAGGGAATCTGACTCACCTGAAACTTACTTGTTGGCTGTTCAGGCTACCTTCTTTTTTTTTTTTAAATATATGTGTTTGTTTTGTTTCTGTTCAGAGTTTATGGGAACAAACTCTCCTTATTCCTGAATTTGCAAATCATTTGTATTAACTATATGGAAAGACTTTTTCCCTTGGTGGTAGTCTAGTTAATAGATTGACCAGGTGGTATCTTTTATGAAGTTTGTTTGCTTAAGACTTACTTAAACTGATTCAATGTTTTTCTTTAAAGTGCTGAAGCTTCTTCTGCTGAATGTTGCCAGCATGCTAAAATCTTGGAGGACACGCAGTTTGTGGATGGATATAAGCAGTTGGGATTTCAGGAGGCTGCTTATGGAGAATTCCTAAACAGATTGAGAGAGAACCCTAGGCTTATTGCATCCTGTTTGGTTGCCGGAGAGAAGCTCAACCAGGACAACACTCAGAGTGTCATTCACACAGTCTTTACCTCCATTTATGGCAACTGCATCATGCAGGAGGATGAGAGCTACCTCCTCCAGGTCCTCCGTTACTTGATTGAATTTGAACTCAAGGAAAGCGACAACCCTAGGCGGCTGTTGAGACGAGGCACCTGTGCATTCAGCATCTTATTCAAACTTTTCTCTGAAGGACTCTTTTCTGCAAAACTTTTTCTTACTGCAACTTTACATGAGCCAATTATGCAGCTTCTGGTTGAAGATGAAGACCACCTGGAAACTGATCCAAACAAGTTAATTGAGAGATTCTCCCCAGTACAACAGGAAAAGTTATTTGGCGAGAAAGGCACAGAAAAGTTCAGGCAGAGAGTCCAGGAGATGGTTGACTCCAATGAGGCCAAGCTGGTGACCTTGGTGAACAAATTCATTGGCTATCTCAAACAAAATACTTACTGTTTTCCTCACAGTTTGAGATGGATTGTGTCACAAATGTACAAAACGCTCTCCTGTGTAGACAGGCTGGAGGTTGGGGAGGTCAGAGCAATGTGCACAGACCTTCTTCTAGCGTGTTTCATCTGTCCGGCAATTGTTAACCCAGAACAGTATGGGATAATTTCTGATGCTCCTATAAATGAGGTGGCAAGATTTAATCTGATGCAGGTATGATTCACTTTAAAGTACTCTTAAAGTATGAGAAATGTTATTGGCCTTTTTTTTCCACTAGAACTGATGTTACTACAGTAAAGGTACTGTCCCTCCTACCTGTAAGAAGAATGCTAACAAACTATTTGTGTTAAAGGCATGCTCTAAAGTTATCTGTTTGCTTAAAAAACTGACTTAAAAGAATTGATAGCATGTGTTCCTTTGTCTCTTAGAAGAGTTGCAAATGTACTTTAGAAAAGCTGTTATAAGGGATGGAAGCTAAAGTGTAAAAGTGACTATAGGAAGAGTTCTGGAACGTGTGTAAATGGATGTTGTGCTGTCCTTGCCAATGTTAAATATTATGCAAGGTACTGCAGAAAATAATGAAATATTTTCCTGGAAAAACCTTCTTGTCTGGCAGTCATGACCACTGTTCCTGATGGGTAGCTATCTACTGTTTTATTAGACCTTAGAGTATTCCCCAGTCCTCATGACAAATTTTTGTCTTTGTGCAAATATTTGGGCAATTTAATGATAGTATGTAGAGGTGTAGTCTAAGGGTATTAAGCAACACTTGTTTGACTGAGGATATTCCCCACACAAGTAACAAAACCTACTTTTGAATGCTGTCTATAAACTGGACAGCAAGTCTCACAGTATAATCATTCCAGTGAGTTTTACTCACTAGACTGTTACTGACAGGGCCTTGCTAGTGTTTTTCTAAAATACCTTAGCAGTTCTCTCCTGTGTCACTGCCTGCGTGTTGTAGCAGAGCTTGCAGTTGGCGACTTTAAAATTGAGAGTTGTTTTGCAATTGGAGATTAATGAGGAATATAAGCTCTGAAACAAGGGTTAGCCCTCTTGCTCCCCCCCACCCCCCTGCATATTCTTAGTAAAATATATACAGCCTTTTAAAATGCCTAGGTTTAAGATGACCTAGATTCAACTCTCAATTCTGATGTATTGTAAAAACAAAGCATGCTTTGTTCCTGGAAAGGGGGGAAGTATGGATGCTCATAGCATACTGTGTGCAGATTTTCTTGTTAAATGCAATGACTGCTTTTTTCTAAGGCTTCTTGCATTTTTTCTGTCCTGAAAGCGAGCACAAGACTCTGTCTGCTCAATCAGAAGTATTTCTCGGAGTATTAAATGAAAAAAACATTTAGATTGGAGGATTTTTCTTAACTATTTTTTATAATTGGGTCCATCATGATGTTGTTTTGAAATGCTTGTTCTTCATATTTCTTTTTCATTTCAGGTTGGGAGACTTCTGCAGCAGTTGGCAATGACAGGTTCTGAAGAGGGAGATCCACGTATGAAGAGCAACCTTGCTAAATTTGACAAAGTAAGAACCCAGACTACAAAACACTAAGACTCGTGTGTATACTTCATCCTTCTGAAGTCTCTTTTTTCAGGCATTGCAAAGGACTTACTAAGTGTGTAACTTCCAAGTTACATGTACTGAAAAGCAGATTAAAACCTGCACAAAGCTGGGAACAAAACCTTGCGTACTAGAATTAAGGGTCGGCGATTCTCGCTTCTACTCTGACAGAATACTTCTCAAAAGAAAACACAAAAAAGAAATAAAAGCAAGTTACCTTTTAAACTGAAATGCTGAATTACTGTCTGTGGTTTTCTACCAAACCTAAAGAAAACCCTTTGATCTGAAGACAACTTTTGTATGAAATCTGGCTTAACACCAAGTAATTTGTTAGTGCAAGTAACTTCTGTTCCTTTTTGCGTAGTTTTGCTTTTTTTGTTCAGTTTTTCCTTTGTTAGTATGAATCATCCGTAGCAGTACTGAAATTAGCTTCATCAGAGGAACAGTGAAACTAATGATCTTTGATGTACTGTCAAATGTTTAAAAAGCTGTTGACTTGCTTGTGTAACTTCCAGGTTTTTGCTGGTTATAATTGTTACATAGTCATCATACAAAGTTACACATTTATTATACAAGTAACATTCAATCAGATTAGAAAGTGACATTGTGTGTTGCTTCCTTGTTTCACTTTTAGTCTGCGCTCAGCAGATTCTTCAGGAAGGGGCAGTTTAATTGCCATAAAACGGTTAAATTTTTTTAAAAATTGTAAGACGACACTTAAGTAAGTAACACTGTTGAATGCAGAAAAGGAGTGAAGGAAATGCTAAAACTAACTGCACGCTTTCCTTGCTTGATCTTCAGTGATTTTAATGATACGTGATTTTAAAGTCCTAAGACTTTAAAAGGAGGAAGCAAAACTTACATCGTTACATAAACTACTTAACTCTTGTTGTAACTTCTTTCCAAACTCTAGTAAGTGGTTTCTCATTTAAAAACTGTTTCTTCTCTTTGCAGAGCTGTGTGGCTGCTTTCCTGGATGTAGTCATTGATGGGCGTGCAGTTGAAACTCCTCCAATGTCTTCTGTTAACCTTCTGGAGGGGCTGAGTAGAACAGTTGTTTACATGACATACAGCCAGCTAACTACTCTGGTAATATCTTAAGTTCTTAAAAAGAAGTAGTATAAACTTGTCCCCATGTGTTTACAGATAGGATAAACAATGCCGATAATTTATGCTGCAATTCTTACCAACGCTAATTCTAAATTTTTAGGTTGGCTTTATGCGGAATGTAATGTCAAGCGATCAGCTGAAGGAAGATCGGATGGCTTTGGAAAACTTGCTGGCAAACTTACCCCAGAACAAACCAGGGAAAAGCAGCAGCCTTGAAATGACTCCATATAATACCCCACAACTTTCTCCTGCAACTACTCCAGCTAACAAAAAAAATCGATTACCAATAGGTAAGGAGAGCAAGCAGACTTCTTGCGTGATTTCTGATACCTTGATACATTTTCTGTGCCATTTTTTCAGTCATCTCTTGGGGCTATTCTTCTACTATGCCTTCAGTTCCTACTTTTTCTGTGTAGATGGTGAAAAATTTTCTTTTGCATAGAAGGCCAAGGAACTTCCTTACTTTCCGATGCAAGTATGGTGAGCTTCATCACTCTGGATTGAACTTGAGAAAAACACTGGAGTGGTTGTTAGTCACACTAGTGCAATGATAATAAAGGGGAAGTTTAAAGATGGGAAGCAGATCTAGGAAGGAAGATTGCTTAGGAAAGTGGTAAGATGGAAGCGATGACATTTAATTAGTGGGATAGAATAAGTTTAAAATTTTTGTGTGTCAGAAGAGAGCAAATGTGGAGGAGGATGAAAAAGGAAGAGCAGAACTTTTAGAGTATGTGCTGAGAAGAGAAGCTTTCTTCTTCATTATTTGCCTGGTCTAATTCCAATTGTTAGTATATCGTAATGTGATTTTATGTTTTTTGGTTTTTTGTCCTCTTTTTGACTAGGATTTCTGGGTCTTGAACTTTTCCACTTCAATAATATTTTCTCTTAAAATAGGAAGTGTGGTACTCTTCTTCAGTGTATATTCACATTAATATGATCACATGGGGTATTTTTGTTTGAGAGATTTGGTGTTAGTGTGTAACAGGATGAAAATAGGTGGAGCCTCATAGGTGAGGGGGAAAAAAAAAAAAACCCAAAACAAACCTATCCCATGTTGTTTTAACTCTACTTCTGAATTGTTCTGGTCTTACGCCTATAAAGTAGTGGCACAACAGCTTTTTTTTTTTTTTGATGGTATAAAATAGTTTTTGCTCAAATTTTTTATTTCTTTTGTTTCATTTTAATGCTTTCGAAATCCAGGACAGCAATTGGCAGCCATTACTGCCTGGGATACTTCTGCTACCAATCTTTCAGCTCATATAACTCTAGTAACCCCTTTTGGTGGGTAATGCCCTCTTTCCATTCTTCTCTGTGAAACCTTTACTTCTAACACATAACTTAAGCATGCCTTTGGTTTACTTTGGCAATCAGTTGCTTTTTTCAGCTTTCTTCATTGATTTCTATATGAAACTCATTTCGTATGTACATGTAGTTTTTAAAAACACCTTGTGAGCCTTTGTATGATAATCAAAATTTGGTTGGGACTTCTGCACACTTGCCTTGTTTTCCCTGGATCAAATAAAGAAATAACGGGTGTCATCCTGCCATACTTAGAAATCTTAATTCCATGTGGGCATTTTTCCTTCCATGGTGCCAAACGTGGGAATATGAGACTACTTGAAAAGACTAATAGAGAGTTGTAAAATAATGAAAGTAAACCACCTGATGTTGAATTGTGTGTCTGGGTTTGAGGCACCTGTTAGTATAAGATTTCCTTGCTTTTTAGGAGAAAAAACTCTAAATAAATTAATTAAACAGAGTTATAAACCACAGGAACCTAGACCTTTTTTTGTTGGTAACAAACTTCTTCATTTTCTCAATTAATTTATTAAGGACCTTCCTGTGATTGGAATACACTGAATTTGTGTAGGCAAACAGGACATAGTGTACCTTGTTTCTCTGAACTTTTATGTTGGAAGTTTGCTTTTTCCACAGTTCAGTACTCAAATTTAAACACTAGTTCCATCTCTCAAAGTCTAATATGACTCTTCATTTTGTAAGTTTATTTAGTATGTGTATTACGAATTCAAAACATTGTCGTTCTGTATTTCCATTGTATTGTCTTTTTTTTTTTCCCTCCTTAAACAAGGAAAAGCTTTCTAATGTTGATACTTCAAAATATTTTCTTAGCAACTCGTAGCAGAAGTAGATCAAATATGCTAATGGATCAGCATGGAGATCATGAAGGATCCTCCCAGGAGACTATCCCAGAAGTTCAGCCAGAAGAAGTGCTGGTGATTTCTTTGGGGACAGGTCCACAGATTACTCCAGGAATGATGTCAGAAAATGAGGTATGTGAAAACTATCGTGTCTTGGATATTTTGAAAAGTACAGCCTTTGTGTTCTATAATAGCAGAACAATGAAGTTGTGACGCTAAGTTTGGGTAATAAATCCAGAATGGGAATTAAAATCCTTACTTCATTTTACTGAAATTGGGGCTTGTAGCTTTCAGATTTCCCTTTGTTTGATTTTCCACCCACCCCCACCCCCCCTTAGTATATCTGCAAGGTGTGAAAAGCAGTATATTATCATAGGAAAAATGAACCTGGCGGATTTATGAAGAAGCTCTGTTATCTAGCATGCTTAAGAGCAAACTTGGGCTATTGCTTCTGAGCCTGAAGAAACTGATTCAGTTGTCTCTCTGCATGCTCTGTCTTTGGATCAAGTGGCACAGGTGAATGACAGAACTGGAACACGGATTGTGACGTTTTTGGCAGCTCAGTCTTGAAATGCACAGGCCCAGCTGCTTGTGAGGGCGGAGCTGTGGTCTAGGTGCCGTGAATGCCTTCAGGCTGTGTTGCTTAGGGTAAGGCTGGTTTTACAGCCTTTTCTTTCATCAGCCATAGCACAGCTTCTGCTTTCATCTCGGCAGCCTTGCCTGATAGTTTGGATTCTCTCCTTTTGCAGCCTCGTAACGATCAGTTTCCGTATTATATTTGTCTGCTGGGGTGATGAGGGAGCTGGTGGCTCCGTTATTATCAGGACTTGCCTTATGTTCACATCTTGGTTACCTTACATTCTCTCCAGGCTCTGACTCTGGAGATAGCTGTCTTTTTTTCAAACAGAATGTTAGAAATTTGATTGTGCCATTAACGTTTGGGGGGGAGGGGGGGGAAATGCAAAAAGCAATGTTTTGTTTACTGCTTAATTATCTGAAAAATAGATTATTTTAAGGAAGTTCTGTTTCTTTTCCCCAACTCTCCAGGTTTTAAATATGCAGCTTGCAGATGGCGGACAAGGAGATGTCCCCGTTGATGAAAACAAACTCCATGGTAAACCTGATAAAACCTTGCGCTTTTCCCTCTGCAGTGATAATCTGGAAGGAATATCTGAAGGTGAAGGGCTACTTAAGTCTTGAAGAAGTTTTGTCCCCCCCCCCCCCTTTTTTTTTTTCCTTAACTATAAAAGGAACTTCTGTTAAGTACAGCATGTCATCTTTGCCATTTTGAAGACTGTGCTTGTTATTTTACCCTGAGAGCCTGTCTTTTCTCTTAGCCATTCAAAGGAAAAAATCTGGAGCTAAATTTTGATGTGCAAAAGCATAACCTAGTCTGAGAACTAGAAAGAAAAAAACCTAAGTGTTTTTAGAAAGAGAAAACAAAGGGATTTTTTTTTTTGAAACTTAAGTGCAGTACTAATTATTAAGATAATCTAACTTAGCTCTAAACTTAGACTTCTCAGACTTATTTTTCATCATGTTTTAATAATTACGTAGAATAGTTTCTGGGCTCTGGACAACTCCTTTTTATGAACCTCAGACACAACAAAGCACAGGTTGTGGTATTGAAGAGGTTTGTACAGATCACTCAGCATGCATTATTTTGTGTAACTTCCATAATTTAGTTTTTGTGCTCTCTCTCCTCAAAATAAGAAAACAAATTCATGGACAAGTAAATAAATTAATGGCAAAGACTATACTGACTTTTTAGTTAAAGTACACTAATGGTGAGATTCCAGCTGTTTCTGGTAACGTATTTGTAGATTATTGTAGTTAGTATGGTAGTCTAAACATGAGAAGTACAAATTACAGTGCAGGTTAAGTCTCTATAGAGTAGGGGTCAAGAGTAGAGCAAATGTACATTTAGTTCATCAGCTTGGTGTTTTGTACTGGAACTGCTACTTCATTTCTTATCATCTTTCTAGTTAATTGTGTCCTGGATTGTTAATGCTGTATATTTAGGAACTGTTATTCAAATTAGATTTACAGTAAAATCTGTTTTCACAGGTCCTTCAAATCGCTCCAACTCAGTGTCATCTTTGGATTTAGAAGGGGAGTCTGTGTCAGAGCTTGGCGCGGGCCCCTCTGGGAGCAATGGCGTTGAAGCTCTGCAGCTGTTAGAGCACGAACAAGGCAGGTGCAAATTTTTTTAAGACAAGTGCCTGAGGTGCTGTAGATGGTAAAGCCAGAGTTCTGTGGAAAAAGGTTGAAAAATTGGCTAGTTCAGGAAAAAATAAGTAAAAGTTTTCTTTGTGCAATGGCTCTTGCATTTATTTATGGGTTTGGTTTTTTTTTCCCTAGAAATATTTCTTGTAGTCCATTGTTAGGAAAAGGAAATGGCATGGGATTTTGAGTCCTTTATAGGAAACTGCTTGTAAAGTTTTGCTTGATACCAAGTTTTTCCCTTCAGGGAATCGGGTGATCTGGATTGGAGTAGTCTTAAAGCGTCTGGCTAGCCTCCTGTTTAATATATATTTGTCAAATGCTGGAACAGGCTGCCCAAAGAGGTTGTGGTGTCTTAACCTTGGAGATACTCGAAACGTGACTGGACGTGACCATGAGCAGCCTACTGTAACTGACCCCGTTTTGAGCAGGGGGTTTGGACTTGAATGATCTCTGGAGGCCTCAGCTTTTCCGTGATAAGTTCTTCTTACAGGGATTGTATCAGTTTCTTGATAGTGTGCTAAATTGTATTCGTTTTGTCTGTCAATTTGGTTGATAGGTCACCATGCGTAGTTTAAGATTTTTCTTCTTGCGTTTCAAGTGTGCTTAAAGACTGTTTTCAGGCAGCATCTCTTGAATAGTATTATAGTGCTTTTCAGGCCTGACTTTAAAACACTGTCTTACCTGACAGAATTAGAGGGTTGCTTTGTTTGGGGTTTGTTGGGTTTTTTCCCTATTTTCAGTTGGAAATCATTGGAGAAGCCTTTTAAAAAAATGAGAACTTTTTATTCTTACATAGCCACAACTCAGGATAATCTTGATGACAAGCTCCGTAAATTTGAAATCCGTGATATGATGGGGTTGACTGATGACAGAGATATATCAGAAACTGTGAGTGAAACCTGGAGTACAGATGTCTTGGGAAGTGACTTCGATCCAAATATTGATGAAGATCGTTTGCAAGAAATAGCAGGTAATTGTTGGTACATCTGGTATGTTAAAATGCTTCATGCTTGCTCTAAAATAGTGAGGCTGCAGAGCCTTCCTCTCTTTCTAAATAGGTGTGTTTTCATTGATTAGACTGGCACTTTTCTGTAGGAGGATTTTGTGTGCATGACCTGTATTGTATTTGGTTGCTCATTTCTGTCTTTTCAACAGGATTGCTTTATTAAGGACACTTAATCTGTGTTCTTATTTTTCTCTCTTATTAGAGCTGTCTTCAGGAAGTCTATATCTAGCTATATGCTTTGGCTTTACTTTTGCAGGTGCAGCTGCAGAGAACATGCTAGGCAGCTTGCTGTGTTTACCAGGTTCAGGATCCGTGTTGCTTGATCCCTGCACAGGTTCAACCATATCAGAAACCACAAGTGAGGCCTGGAGTGTGGAAGTATTACCAAGTGATTCAGGTCAGAATCGTGCAGTTTTTGCTTACTACTTTAGCGTGAATCAAGACTCTTCCAGAGGCATATAATGCAAAGCAACAACCCTTTCTCTCTTTCTTCGAGAAATTGTTGTCCTAGGGTTAAGTTAGTGTTTGTGAATACTTCCAGTATTAAAAGGACAAACTATTCCTAGGCAGAGAGAAGATGGAAAGCATTGTGAGAGAGGTACTGTTACTTAAGAAATCACAGTTTACTTGGGTTAATGAAGATTTTACTGTATACTGTTGTCTCTAAGACATACAATACTTAGTAAAAACTTCTTAGAATGCTTGTGCAGGTAGAGAATTGCTATCTGTGCAGAGTTCTGCCTTCTGTATAGGGAGAAAACTCCTGCTGATCTGGTTGAGTTAGCTTAGAACTTAATATACTAAATCAACACATACCCCCATTCCCCCATATTAAGGGAGCATGGCATTGAGTAATGATACTTTTTCTCTCTGCTTGTCTCCCTTTTGTAGAGGCCCCAGACTTAAAACAGGAGGAAAGACTACAAGAACTGGAAAGCTGTTCTGGGCTGGGTAGCACATCTGATGACACAGATGTAAGGGAGGTCAGTTCTCGACCCAGTACACCAGGCCTCAGCGTTGTATCAGGTGTGTTTAATTGCCTCTGAGAACATGCTCCTGCATTAGAACATGATCATCATCTGCTTTGCTGCACTTGCTTTAGTTCATAGAATCATGGAATCGTTTAGGTTGGAAAAGACCTTTAAGATCATCCAGTCCAACCATTAACCTGCACTACCAAATCCACACTAAACCAATCAAGGGTAGACTAGACTAAACCATGTCCCAAAGTGCCACATCTACCCGTTTTTTGAACGCTTCCAGGAATGGTGACTCCACCACCTCTCTGGGCAGCCTGTTCCAATGCTTGACTACCCTTTCCGTGAAGAAATTTCTCCTAATTTCCAGCCTAAACCTCCCCTGGCGCAGCTTAAGCCCATTTCCTCTCATCCTATCGCTAACTACTTGGGAGAAGAGACCAACACCCACCTCACTACACCCTCCTGTCAGGTAGTTGTAGAGAGCGATCAGGTCTCCCCTCAGCCTCCTCTTCTCTAGGCTAAACAACCCCAGCTCCCTCAGCCGCTCCTCATAAGACCTATGCTCCAGACCCTTCACCAGCTTCGTTGCCCTTCTCTGGACACGCTCCAGCACCTCAATGTCTTTCTTGTAGTGAGGGGCCCAAAACTGGACACAGTATTCCAGGTGCGGCTTCACCAGCGCCGAGTACAGGGGGACAATCACCTCCCTGCTCCTGCCGGCCACACCGTTCCCGTTAACAACCCGGGGATGCTGTTGGCCTTCTTGGCCACCTGGGCACACTGCTGGCTCATGTTCAAAACTTCACTCACAAAATAACTTTTCGCACTCATTCTGGAATTTTCAAAGCAGTAATTCTTTGTTCATCTTACAGAAAAAAAAAAAAAAAGGCAGCAGAGCATCGAATACTCTGTGCTACAATAGCAACGGTGTTGATTTGGAAGAAACTCCTAAATTTCTTGCATTTAGTTTATTATCACAAGTTTTAAGTAAATCAGCATATGTCTACTGCAGTTCTTAGTTTTCTGCAAAATCGAAGCATCTTTCTAATGCCCATTGTCAAAGTGTATTCGTGGCTATGTTAGAACAGTTGAAGACGTAGATCAGAAATAAAATATTATTTTAGGAGTACAGAAATTCAGAACGAAATGTCTCTAGGTGCTACTGTGAGTTAGGACTTGATTATTGCAGTGTTGACCAAACATTTTAACAGCTTCAGGATTTTGCTTCCTTTTTCTCTGAAAGACTATTACAGATTCTTCTTTTGTTATGTGTAAGGTATTAGTGCAACATCTGAAGATATTCCTAATAAGATTGAGGATCTCAGGTCCGAATGTAGCTCCGACTTTGGGGGAAAAGATTCTGTGACAAGTCCTGACATGGATGAAACAGCACATGGTAAGCAAGTTACTTACCTGTAAATGAAAATCAGAATGTCTGATAACTGAGGTCTCACAACGTTGCTTAAAATGACACTTGTAGAATCCTTAAATTTTACAGTTTCTCTCAATTTCAAAGTTCTGGTGGCTAAGCTTAACATTTTTCCTTATTTGCTAGCACTGTATTTGTTTGACAAAGAGACCCCAATATTTTGTAATACTAGAGCTTGAGTGCTAGATCTAAGATCACCTTTTCTTAATTCAGTTTGATTAAATTGACTGTCCTCTCGCAGTTTGGAATTGGTCCACTCCTCAAGATTTCCCCACTTTTTGTGATGTAATTCTTTGATCATTTCAGCATACTCCAGAGATCTTTCCATATAAGAATATCTTTAAAAATAATTTGCAGTATAAGTTTGTAAACTTTTGTTGCTGAGGGCTGTTTTTCCGATGTCCCTTATGTTGTACGTAGTTCTTGTTACAGTGCAAACTTTTTTTTTTCCTGTATTTCAGGAGCCAGTCAGTTGACATCTCCTCCTTCTCAGACAGATTCTTTGCTTGCACTGTTTGACCCTCTGTCATCAAATGAGAGTGAGTTGTAAAGAATAAACTTTTTTAAAAAAACAGGCATTTTCAATGCTTCTATGTTAGTATCAGCTAATTTGGAAGAATCTTAAAATGTGGCTTCTTTTATGCTTATGACCTCAGGTGTATCAGCTGTAGTAAGGCCTAAAGTACACTATGCAAGACCCTCTCATCCACCACCGGATCCACCAATCTTGGAGGGAGCTATGGGAGGTAACGAGGCCCGATTACCAAATTTTGGGTCTCATGCTTTAATTCCAACTGATTTAGAAGCATTCAAGCAGAGGCATTCTTATCCAGAGAGGCTAGTCCGCAGTAGGAGTTCAGATATAGTATCAACAGTTCGGAGACCTATGAGTGATCCTGGCTGGAACAGACGTCCTGGTAATGAGGAGAGGGAGCTTCCTATGCCGACCACCAACACCGGAGCAGCTGTTCTGGTGGCTGCATCTCAGTCATCATCTTCGTCTCCCAGTAAAGACTCCTCTAGGGGAGAGGTAAGGCTTCTGTTTCTCACTTTATTTTTTTCTGGCGTGCCCACTTTAATTATGCATCTAATGCCAGAAAGCTGGTATTAAATGTGTTTAGCCAAGGAGTTACAATGCACTTTTGTTACCTTTTAAACGTTGGCCAATAATGTTTTACAAGCTAAAGCTTCTGATGTTCAGAGTGGCTTAAATAAATCTGGCTTCTCTTAAATTTACTGGATGAGCTTTACTTGATTTGGCAGGACTTCAGAAACAGATTTGTTGTAGTATTCAAATTTAAAATGCTACAGCGTCCTGAAAAGTAATTTTCTTAAAAAAGAAGTAAGCGAAATCTGAGTTTCTTCATGTCTTTGGTTTTGCATTTGTAGGCTGCCTTCTTCAGGAGGGATATTTCTAACTTAATCTGCTATGGCTTTCTGTGCTCTGCTGTAGTTCTGTTTTTACAGTCGATGTAGCATAACCTGACGTCAAGGAGAAATTTTGTCTTTACACTTGATGTGGTAGATGCTCAAATGTAGACTCTGCCCTTCTGCAGATTGAAGAACGAAAAGACAGCGATGATGAGAAGTCCGACAGAAACAAGCCCTGGTGGAGGAAACGTTTTGTGTCTGCCATGCCTAAAGGTAGGAGGATCCTGTCTGTCTGGTTTTGATACTTTAGTAAGAGTGCATGCTGCCTTTGTTATATCTTTAGTCACTTTTACAGAAAGTTTTTACATTTCCACTTGGAAAAGCTGACCAGACTGATGTAGATTTGTTATAGAGTAATAGCTGTCCTGTTTAATTTTGAGAAATAAAGGATTCTTATTTACAGAATTGCAAGTGTTGCAGTAAAGAGACAATTATTGAAATACAAAGTATGCAGTACCTATAAAGAGGTGTGTAAGCTGAAATGAATTTGGTTAGACATTGTGTTGTTTTACTCATTCGGTGACCTTGGAATCCTTATGTGAGGCCAGTCATTTCACAGTTGTATGGTATTAACTTCATTGCAGCTTCACTGAGAACTAGTCTTAATTCTCTACGGATGGCAGCGTGCTAGTTGAAGCATACTGATAACTTAGGATATCTCTTGTAACACGGCATGAGTGGAAATTAGACTTTTGCTATTTACAAAGTAAAGCTTTGTAATAATATTTGGCTTTCGTGTTGTGAATAATGACAACTGGGGATGTAACAATGTGTGCAATATTAGATATTCTTGCCTTTTTTTAAACCAGACTTTCAGTTAGAAAAGAACCAATGTAATCCTTGCAGTCTCTGTGTGACTTTAGATAATGATATAGTATTTTAATACCACTTTGTTTGCTTTTCCATTTCACAATGTGCTGTCTTTGCATCTTCTCCCTGAACTTACTAGTGGGAAGGAGTTGCCAGAAAAGATTCATGTCATTATGACAAATATTTGAGTTAGGACTGTTGGCTAAACTGAAGTACAAATAAATATGTAAATAAAAATGGGAAGCTACCTGACTCTCTTTCCTAGTAATTGCCTGGAGCATACTGTACCTGGAAGGCAAAGCTGTTCTGCCTGGTTCATGGTAGCATGTCTGTTAAAGGTGGAGCTTACTACATGTGATGACAGTACAGTTCTGCTCCAACTCATAGACAGGCTTATGCTTTTATTGAAGTTTATTTGATGACAAACTTCTGCAGCAGCCACTTCCTCAAAGTTTCTTCGCTCTGGCCGTTGTCTCAGTATAGCCTTTGATAAAGTACCTTGCACTTTCAGCTCCTATTCCATTTAGAAAGAAGGAAAAACAAGAAAAAGACAAAGATGACATGGTGCCTGACAGATACTCAACACTTCAAGGTATGTGAATAATATCATCATAGTAATTTTCTCTCATAACATGCCCTCTAGAGTTCCAGAGTGGCCACCAGGTATCTATTTACGGAGAGGTATACGCTATTGTAGTTAATGCTCACAGCTGCCTTTCTGAATAAGAAAGTGGATAAAGATGTCTTGCCTTGAAGACTGTTTTTAAATTGTCATGCTTCTGTCAGTATGTGTAGTACTGGATTCTCGATTCGAGTCTTCACTTCCCCCCCGCCCTGTTATAAAGCTTATGTCCTTATCGTAGCTGAGCTGTAAGAATAGCTGCAGACATGTTCCTGTAATAATTACTCAAGTGCTAAATTAAACATGATTTGAACCTGGGTGTTTAGTTTTCTGTTTGCCTAATCATTTCTAGAAGTCTTCAAATATAGAAGAACCATTTGTGTATACACTACAAATATGCTAAGGATCTGGCTTTATTTGTTCACTTTCATTGTACTGTTTTGGTGCTTTTGCTTCAGACTTCATAAATATATTTGAATTGTGGCTACATGGAACACAAGCAGCTATTTGTCTGATGTGGCTAAAAACAGAGTCCAAATGTCTAGGTCTCAATTTTTGTATTTGCTTTCAGTTGGCACAATACAAGGTTAACTCCTGTTGTTTCTAATGGTCTTTTCAGATGATCCCAGCCCAAGGCTCAGTGCACAGGCGCAAGCTGCAGAGGACATTCTGGACAAATACAGGAATGCAATTAAGCGAACCAGTCCTAGTGAAGGAGCCATAGTAAACTATGATGGTGCAGGTAAGAACGTGGCTTTCGTAACCACCACCAACATAGTTTCTCCTCCTTAAAGATAAAAACACTTCAGTATTCTAGACAAACATTAGTACTAACAGCTGAACAATGTGAACTCTAAACCAGGAACAGTTGTCAAATAATCTGTGGGACAGTCCCTCAGAGACTGGGAATTAAATCAGTATTCCCAAGGACAGCTCTTTCATGTTGCCATTGAGGTGGGTGGTTGTTAATAGTACATCTCTTGCCAGTTTTGGGTTTGTTGGGGTTTTTTTTTTTTTAATGGATACTAATGAAAAAGTGTATTGCCTTCCAGAACTGATGCAATTTCTTCTTAGTGATTTGTAGATTGTATATTTTTAATATACTTTTTTCACTTATTCAGAACAAGTTGTTTTATTTGCTGTCTCTGTTCCCCCCTGCCCTTAGAATAACAAGAAGAAAATAGAGAATATTAGTCTAGCTGCTTCTTCTGACTCCTCTCTTCAAGTGTAATGTTGGCTTTTTCATTTCCATAGAGCCTATTGGGGATGGTGAGAGCATGCATGACTCTCCACGTGATGAGGCTTTGCAAAACATGTCTGCAGATGATCTCCCAGACTCTGCAAGTCAAGTAGCACAGCCACAAAGTTCTGCTTTCTCCTATAGGTAAATACCTTTGCAGGTTTAATCTTACCCACAAAGCCGAACTGAAGCCATGTGATTGGTTCCCACAAAAATCTTAATATGGATTAATTGTAAACTTTTACATGCTTTTAGTTTAAGCATTTCAAACATATTTCTACTGATGAAGTGGGGATGTTGTAACCTGAGATGACAGAGCAATTCAGTGTTAGGAAAATTCCTTTTGAAACTGGTCTAGGTGCTATATCAAAAGAACTGATATTCTAAAGTCTTGACAACATTGGTGTATTAAAATTATGCTAAATTAACTTTTAGGCAGTATTAAAACAAACAAACAAAAAAACCCCAAAAGTAAAGACTGCTTATTGAAGAAGCAGACCTTGCAGCAACTTTGTTAAGAAAATATTTTTCCTCTTTAAGGGATGCGAAGAAGAAATTGAGACTGGCTCTTTGTTCAGCAGATTCTGTTGCCTTCCCAATGTTGACACATTCAACAAGGAATGGTCTACCAGATCACACAGATCCTGAAGGTAGATGTTCTTTTGCATACAGATATTTTGTATTGTATGTGCCTCTTCTTTTTCCCCATCTAATGGCACCTGTACTGCACCATTTATGGTAACTTCTGCTTGGCATAGATATACTTTATGTTGACTTAGTATATGTGTCTTGTGTTTGCATCCCTCCATTCATTCTAGGTTTATTTGCAGACAGGTGAATTTGTCACCTTATCTGGCCCTCTTCGCGTTTCAGAATGGTTCTAAATACTAAATAAGATAGTGATATGAAAACTTATCCCTTGATATCTGGAAAATTCAAAAAGACTTATTAAAGTGTTCTTAAAATAACATTTATTGCCTAATGTACAGAAGCGTTGTTTTAAACTGTTACGTGTTTCCCATATTCAAAACCAGTTTTATTTTCATCATGCCTACGTTTTTCCTTAATAATTTTCCTTTGTTCTTTATTAGATAATGAAATTGTGTGCTTCTTGAAAGTTCAGCTAGCCGAAGCTATTAACCTCCAAGACAAGAACTTGATGGCCCAGCTGCAAGAGACAATGCGATGTGTAAGCCGCTTTGATAACAGGACCTGTCGAAAGCTGCTGGCATCTATTGCGGAGGACTATAGGTACTTTGTTCAGTATCTTATTACTAATGGGTTTCCAAGTGCATGTAGTTATTTGCTAGCAAACTGGGAAGATCCCTTTTGGTTTAAATTGTACTTTACCAGATTAGGTTGTTGTATCTCTGCTTTCCCACAAAATGATGGAATTGTTTCACCTCTCTGCGAATGGCTTAAAAAAGCTTGGACCTTAAGTCAGTTCAGATAGTAATAAACTCAGGTTGAATCAATTTGTGGCTAATGTTCAGCTCTAACACACAAGAGATGCTGTTTGGAATTTGCTTTAGCGTAGCATTCTGGAGTGCTGCAAGGGCAGTGAATTCAGTCAGAGAAATCTGTATAAGCTGGAACTTCCTAACTCAGGTGTTACCTTTGTTTTAAAAATAACAGGTTGAAGATTCCGCTTGCACTACAACTTAACAGTTTGTAAAGCTATTAGCCTCTATCTTTATTATGAATCTAATGTAGAGCACTCTTTATTTTAGGAAAAGAGCTCCATATATTGCTTATTTAACTCGATGTCGCCAAGGCCTGCAAACGACACAAGCGCACTTGGAAAGGCTGTTGCAAAGAGTTCTGCGAGATAAAGAAGTGGCCAACAGATACTTCACTACAGTATGTGTGAGGTTACTGCTAGAGAGCAAAGAAAAGAAAATAAGGGAGTTTATTCAAGGTGAGATTCATGCAGACTGTGGGATGTTTATGTTCCTTTACTCCATATCTAGATGCTGGCTCGGGTTAATGTTTTAAAATACAACTTCTGATCTGAGGAGCAGATTCCTAAAATGGTTTTCATTTCAGCTGGTGAATTAATGGCTCAAATAGACAGATTACTGTGACTTAATAGTATGTTGTGGCAGCTAAGCCACGGTAACTGCCTGCATTTTTCATGGGCTAAGAGAATTAAGGTGATTTGACCTCACTTGGCCTAAAAAGTTACGCTAAATCATATTATCTAGCATCTGCCCCATGGAAGAAGCATGAATACTAGTTTAGATCTACTGATAAATGGTAAATTAAGTTGCAGCATTCAGTCCTGAGTACAGAACCTGAGACTGTACCTTGGAAGATATGGGGAATAGTGGTAGTATGAATCAAATGAATCGAAGATTCAAAAAATATCATAGCGTAAGGGATATCGGCACCAGGAAGACAACTCTCTCAAAGCAGAGTCACTTAAACCAAACTGTTACTATGTTCTCTGTGCACATACCTGACTTAATGAAGTACATAAGAAATTTGAAGTCAGTTCTTGCTCCTGGAACATGTAGTGCTGCATATGAAATGTGCTGAATAGGCTGGAATTAATGAGAACTTACATCTGCTGGGATTAAAGTTCTGGTAATAAGATTCAGTGACCCAGGAAGGAGTTAAAGCCCTTTCATTGGACAGAAAGGAGACAGCTATTTCTGGATGATCTAAAAAAGAAATTGGCAACTGTGGCGTTTAGGCTGCTGGCAGATGTGAGTGGCAGTTGTCTTCTGGTGCAGAGTGCTATAAATATGAAGCCGATGAATGGCCAGTGATTTGGTCATGCTGCATTAACTTGGCTGCACCGCTCATTCTGTATTTTGTAGATAAATATGAATGTTGCAACTATGCATATTTAATAAAGGTAGGGGTAGGAAATGGTACACATGGGTATTCTTGATGTCTTCCCCTGCCCGCCCCCCCCTTTCAGCATCTGACAACTCTGCGTGCGCTGGTTCCTACCAGCGACTGTTCTAGTGGTTGTTCTGGGTGTTTTCTCTGTGGGTGGCTGGAAAGAAGGCATAAGAACGGGTACTGCAGAGGAAGTGATTAACACAGTAGTATCAAGTGGAGTATTTTGACCATGTGCTTTGCTAAATGTGTTCCATATGCTTTTCCTTTCATTCTTTCATTTATTTCGAGTGTTCCTGCTTGTATTTCCCTTACTGCGGTGTGGGCAAAACAGAGCCTCAGTGCTGCCTGGCAAGAAGTCTGAAGTAGATTCTGGGCTCTTCTTTCCAGAAAAACCTATCAGAAACCGTGTTTTTTACTTAACTGAATGTTCTCTCTCTTTTTACTTTTTATCAGATTTCCAGAAACTTACAGCAGCAGATGATAAAACAGCCCAAGTTGAAGATTTTCTTCAGTTCTTATACGGGGCTATGGCTCAGGATGCCATATGGCAGAACGCCAGTGAAGAACAGCTTCAGGATGCACAATTAGCTATAGAACGCAGCGTGATGAATCGTATTTTCAAACTTGCGTTCTACCCTAATCAGGATGGAGATATTTTGCGTGACCAGTAAGTTAATGTAATTTGAAGTACCTGGCTTCTCTTTTGCAGTTGGTGCAGATGGAAGCTGTTCAGTCTTCATGTGACAGACCTTAAGTCAGCCATGCCATACAAACTCATGTTTTCTTTTGGAACGTTTTGTAAAAGAACAAAGAGGTGCTTTAGCACCACGTGCAAAAGTTTGTGTTTGCAACAAACTGCTAGAACAGAATAAAATTGTAAAGGTAATGACTTGAGATACAGACTTCAGATCTGCAAGTGTGTATGTGGAGAGAATGATCGAAGTCTGCTTCAGGACTCTTCCATTTGTTTTGTTATGGTATTTTCCATGCATTTGGGGTTTTTGGATTTTGTGTTTTAGAACGTATGCTGTTTGAATGCTCTACTGGCTGTGTGGTTGTACTTGATTGTATGGCAAAATCCTCTGCAACTCTTATGGACCCAGTGTCCGTTAGCTGTAGGACCATCATGATTATATGCATTCCTGAAGATCTCTCTTGTATCAAACTGAAAACTAGGGGAAATCCCAGGGGACTACTGGCTGGCTGCTGCTTACTTTTCATTCTTTTTTTTTGTGTTTGTTTTCAGGGTCCTTCATGAGCACATACAGCGGTTATCTAAAGTAGTGACTGCAAACCACAAAGCACTTCAGATACCTGAGGTAACAACTCCTTTCCTTCCCTTTTGTATGTGTGTTGGGGTGCTTGGTTTTGATTGTGTTTGGGATGGGGAGAGGGTTGCTTTGTTTTACGCTTAGAAGCATTGCTTTTCGATCTGTGACAGTTGAAATATCCTGCAGGAAAAACATGCTGTACCCATGCCTTGGTATCTTCCGCTGACTGATCCTTCCAAATTAATTTCTGATTTGTCGCCTCTGTCCTGAGAGTAGGATTTAAGAACTAATAGTACACTGCAGTAGGATGCAGTAACGTTTTGGTAATTTGCTTCAAAAGACAAGATTTGAATCCTTTATGCTTCTAATGTGATTCATATGCCATAGCTGTGGTTTACAGCTGTCAAGTTAACTTCCTGAACTAGACAGAATTAATGGAGCCTTGCAGATCTGTGAATTTGCCCAGTGCTTTCACTTTTCTCATGGTTAATAGGATAACTAAAAGCAGGTTGGTAGGCTTAAGAAGTCTGTCAGAGGCTGGATGTTTGCAGCTTTCCTAGTTCTCAGTTCAGCACTTGAACTCATGTGTGACTCAAAACAGTGAGTGTTCATAAAGCTTCTGATAGGGAAGACTGAGGCATACAGCTCTGCCTTAATTTGAAACTGTACTGGAGAAGTCAGGGAGAGGTGCAGGCTAATTATGTTGCACATAGAGTGCTGGCTCCTTGTACTTTTTTATTATAACACAGCAGGAAGCCACCTTCATTGTGAATGTGGTGTAACCACCTTGACTTAGGAAGCTTCCTATTTCTCTGGAGCCTTGCTCCTGCCTGCAAGTCTCTGGTACTTCAGATCCTTTGTGGTGCACAGTAGTAGCTTGGACAAACAAGAACTGGCAGCATGTTGGGTTTTTTTCTAGGTATATCTCCGAGAGGCACCTTGGCCATCTGCACAGTCTGAAATCCGCACAATAAGTGCTTATAAAACACCCCGAGACAAAGTACAGTGTATCCTGCGAATGTGTTCAACCATCATGAACCTGCTTAGTCTGGCAAATGAAGATTCAGTACCTGGGGCAGATGATTTTGTTCCTGTTCTGGTCTTTGTCCTCATAAAGGTGAGCTCTTCTGCAAAGATCACAAACCCCAGCTAATTCTTGTAATAAACAAGCAAATTCTAGGAAGAAAAATAATGCGTTTGGGTAACTGGGAGCATGCTAGACTCAAAACCAGGTCTAATTCGGCAGGTTTAAATAGAAACATCAGAAATGTTGTCAGAGTTATGGTTTTTGGATCCAAGCAAACTTTGCGTTTGGAACGAAGGAGATAGGGGTGCAGGTGTTGTCTGTGGTGTGGGTTTTGGGGGTTTTTTTTTGAGGTGTGTCTACCAGCATCTGTCATCTGTGCCTGCTTAATGTTGTCCTCTCTCAGGACCAAGACCCACACTAGGACTGATTCGCGTTGTGTTGCTGACCTTTTTCAACACATCAGTGTTTGGAGAATGGCCTGCCACATATAAGATGCTAAAACGATAGGCTTTTCCATGTGTTGAAATCCTTGATGACTTTTAGATTCTGTCAGTGTTACCCTTCTTTCTCTTGGCCTGCTAGTCATTTTTCCTTGTTGGAAAAATGCTCCTTTCATCAAGTGTGATGCGTTCTGAGTGTGTGAAACGGGTAAACGGTGAGCACCCTACAGATATGTTAGGTAATCATGTATTATGAATGTGTGAGGATCACGGTACAAATAGGATTGTATTTCTTTTCTGTATCTTGTAATGTTTTATGTTTAGCTTTGCAAACAAGCTGTGAGTGTCTCTTTCTTCTTTAACCCCCAGGCAAATCCACCTTGCTTGCTGTCCACTGTTCAGTACATTAGTAGTTTCTATGCCAACTGTTTGTCTGGAGAAGAATCATACTGGTGGATGCAGTTCACAGCAGCAGTTGAATTCATTAAAACTATTGATGATCGCAAATAACTCAAACAGCACATGTATGGGCAGACTGTTAGCAGAAGAAGAGTATATAAGAATGTACAACAGCTGCAAAAGCTGAAGAAGAGACTTTCCTTGTATAATACTGTACAGAATTGAGGCATTTTAAAACACACCTTTACTAATCAAATTAATTTAACAGATTTTCCTCTTCTCTTTTGGTTATGTTTTTCTCCCCTAAGATACTGGTACTGCAAAAGGGACCACAGTTTTCAGGTATTTTGGAATCTCAAAACATGCAGAAAATTCTTCATGCTTTTTCCACCACCCCTCTTCCTGAACTCTTACTCACATGAATAATTCACTTCATTTAATTTCTAATAGAAAACCGAAACAAGAAGAATCAGGGCAACCACTTACTATTCTTTCTAGCTTAATACACCTTTTATTAATAAAACACCAGCCACACTGAAGGTTTGTAGTAGCTGACATTTAGTTATCAGTTGTATTTCACCTAAATTTAAAATCTGAGAGGACAGTGTAAATATTATATACCTATATTTAATGCATTGCAATTATCTTTGGACTCATTATCCTTTGAATAAACAAGCAAAAGCCTCTCTGACCTCTAACAGGTTGTGATATACTGTGTTTTGGTAATGAAAGGACTTCCTCGAAAGGCTAAGATTAAAAAAGGGCAAACTGAACTATTTATTAAAATGTAATTAAGATTACTGAAATTTCTAAAACTGGAATTTATAATAGACAGGGCTTATTAGATAGCTAAACACTTTTTGGCTAGGGCATTAGGGTGTTATAAAGGTTTGGATATATAGAGGAGAGGGACTGTAAGTTACAATAGATAAGTAATATAAAAAAGGAGAAATAAAATACCTTACTGTAATATTTTTTTCTGAAATATTGTGTATACTGTACAAACCCCAAACAGAGATCCTTAACAGAACCTTGGACTGTAATATATATTTTGATTAGTGACATTAAATACATATGCCAGGGGTTTCAGTGAATGTTTTTACTAAATGTTCTTCGTGTTGTCTGCTATGCAGCAGTGCAAGTTTTACTGTTCATATAAAATATTTTAAAATGTAACACTGTTCTTTATGAAACATATCATGACATCAGTTCAGGGTGTTTTATAGATTTCTCACCCCACCTTTCCCTTAAACTGACAATTATCAATTTAAAGAAGTTCTTATGCACAATACCACATGGATTTTTCATGAGTGAAATGGTCTGAGTGATGGCCAGTGGTTGTTATCTGTATATAAGCACTTGCTGTTCTTTTTTAGCTAGAATTACAGTGGAAAAAGGACAGCAAGCATTTAACTTTTTCATGTCAGTATTATTTCTTGCTCTTCCCAGAGTGTTCATTGCACTTCTGACAGAGGGATGTGTTAAGACTTGGTGTCTGTGAGTGGTAAAGAAAACACAATCTTTCTCGCATTCTTTTCAAAATATGGTTGATTTTGTGTGTGTGTGTGTGTGTGTGCGCGCATTTTGATGATTAAAACCTGTAAGCAACTAGTACTTGGGAAAATCATCTGGTTAACTGAAATTAGAGCAATTTATGTAAAGTATCAAGTGCTTGATTTGGCTGTGCTACTTGTCAAGGCATAATTAAAGAAACTTACTTTCTAGGACTCTTAGTAAGTAATTCAGTATAGCATTTTTGCCAAACTAATCACAGGTGAGAGGGTGGGATGGTACCTTTTTTCTTTTATTTATAGTCTTTCTCCTCTATTAGAGACTCGATTGTGTGGAGGAGCAATACTCAGTAGAAACAAAATTCTTCTGATCTGCCTTACTGTGGTAACTCAGTCTGTGTAGCATTGCAATATTCTAGTTATTTAGCCTTGATGGGATTTTGGTGCTGAATACATAACTTAATATTGCAAGCACAGCCCTGACCAATAACACTCAGCAGCGAAGCACAAATATGCCCTTGAAGATATGGCCAGATCATATCTAAAAGCAATATAAATTTATTTATATTGAAGTGTCCTGTAATATTTAATTATTACTTGAATATCTGAGATGTTAAGACCAATGTATGAAAGTTCTTTTAGTCCTGCAGTTTGGGTTTTAGTCGAGGAGAGTATTTGTACAGCCCTTAAAGAAGGCACAAAGACACTTAAGTTGGTGATTGCCCCGTGCGTTGCTTCTGCTTGCACACTCGCAAGCAGGATTTGATCAGCACCATCGGGTCTTTCAGATTTGCTCTCCTTTATGGAAGGGGCAAGAACCATTTCCTTCACAATTTTTATCGCTTTGTTTTTCTGCGTAGAAAAATACTTAAAAAAAACCTGGAGGGTTGGTTTTTTTATTACTATTTACATATTTTAAAACCAGTGTTTCAGTGAGCCCCAGATGAGCTGAGAGTCTTCACAGCAAGATGGTCCTTTGCTTCTTTTTTCCAACCTACTCTGAAAGTCCTTTATATAGTCTCGATAGGTGTAGTTAGAGAATTAGGCTTTCCAAAGAATTAAAAAACTTCCTGTAATATCCTCGTACTATTTTCCCCTGGTGTCCCATAATGTTTTGTTTTAAAATGATAAATTACATGTATAGGAAGTGATGTTGTTAGGTTTTGGTGTGCAATAGTAAAGGTGAAAAGACAGTGCATAAAGGACCAAAAGTAACAGAACTGTTGCCAAAAGGTGCCAGCCAACCACGTACCTGTTGCTGTAAACTTGGTGCTTTCTGTTAATTAAATTATACTTCAACCACTGAAGGATGAATGGAACCTTTTGGGGAAAGGGGAGGGGACAGAGGCCATTAGTAGCCGACTGCGGTCACGGACTTAAGGCTTGATCGTTGTCTTCAGTGCTGGTTTGTTGGCGTGTCTGGAGGAACTGCCAAATTAAAGGATGGCACGGCTATGCCTGCTCATGTTACACAGGTGGTGTTTTCCTTTTCTGGGTAGAGGAGTGAAAGGGCTGGGTTTTTTTCATCCCGAGGAGACTCCTTTTCGCTCCCAACCCTAAATGAGATTTCTCTTTAACGCTTTTTTAAAATCTCTTTAAGGGGAATCGGAACGCGTATGGCCTATTAAGTATTTGAGTTTAAAAGTTTTTGTTTTGAAGACCTTGTACTACCAAATGCTGAATGTAACTGCCATAAATTTCAGGAAAAAAAGCCACGAACCTGTTTTCTGTAGGTGAGTTGCTGGTGAGCACAGTGTTGGTTCGTATCGCTTGAAACCGTTCACGTTCTGTTAAGCCAAATTCTCGCCGACGTTTGAGAACTCACTGCCACGCTAATGCCGAGTAGCGCGTGGAGGAAGGGGGCTTAGGCCGGCGCGGCGGCAGCGGGAGGAGGCAGACTCGGCCAGCAGCAAAGCTTCGGGCAAGCGAAGCGTGCGTTTGGCACGAGCGTAACTGGCGCGGCCGTGCTGCGGCGCAGACTGTGCAGCCTTCGGCTGGCAGCGTGGCGGCAGAGCTGGAGCAGCTGGAAAGCAGTGGACAAGGAGGGGGAGGAGAACTCTTATTTGGCTAACAGCTGGTGACTTGGTTGAGCCTGTACTACTTGAGAATTAACCTCTGCTGAGTTAGTAGTGTGTGTTCTGTACCCTTTAATTGTGCTTTACCTCTATTTAAAAGCTTCGTACTGCCTCTCCTCTTTGAAACTGGTAAAGCCTTTATAAATCTAAATTAATGAGCTTGCACAATCTTGTATACAGGAAACCCATCTTGTCTCTAACGTGATTATTAATGTATTATTCTGTAAAAACTGATTAAAGGAGAGCAGTTTAACCGTCTGGCTTTCACGTTTCTGCCGTGTTCTGATGCGATCAGCGGTTGTGCTGGAGATGGCGTTGCGAGCGCGAACAACTTGCCGCTGACTTCGCGGGGTTTCCGTTTTGCATCGCTGCCATGTCGTACCTGCGGGACCTTTTCACGCGTGCGCTGACAGCTCACGGCGAGCGGACAGCGGCAAAAAAGAAACCAGATCTGGTGAATGGGAGAGGATGCACCGCTGAGTTGGCTGCTTAACACAGAGCTTTTCAGGTTTTGGGGGTTTCTTTTTTTTTTTT